TACGTTGAGGAGAGGGGAAGGGGTGCGAGTTCTGTAGGTAAATATGTGATATTTTCTCCTTGTATATGCAAGGTATGTATGGTATTACTGCATGCCTTTGTGGTGTAATTGGAAGCACGTCCACTTATCAATGGGAAGGTCTGTAGTTTAAGTCCTGGCAGAGGTTTTGCATATTTTTCACTTTTCCTGAGTCTGAAAAATTCCAAAAGACTGCTAGTGGTGTCTAAATTAAAAAAAGTTGGTGGATGGAAACTCACCACCACCAGGGTTTGGTGATTGGGTCCTGTGCTCTGCATTTACCCTTTAACTGGAGGAGAATGTAAGATATTTTCTCGGTGTTTACTGCATATTGTTGTAGTGTAATTGGAAGCATGTCCGGCTAGCAGGTGGAAGGTCTGGAATTCAAGTCTCAACAAGGGCATAGCAAATTTTTCAAGCCTGCTGCTTTGAAAACATAATGATGCTATAATTTTTTTGATGTTTCATAAAGTTTAATATTGTATTTTATATCAATTTATTTTTTATATTATTTATCCTTTTAATTACTTCACAGTGTGAGTAGCATTTGTTAAAAAATTCAATCTAAGGCAGTTAAATTGCTGATAAAATTATAAGAAGAGCAGCAATAAGATTTATTATCTAATACCATGCATTTTTACTGAAAAGTATGGCATTTTAGAAACCCACTGGAATAAAAATTGTGTTTTAAATTGTACTAAGCATTGATTGTTGATTTGGGTAACCTTCAAATGATTAATAATATGCTGTAACAAAAAGTAAAATGCATATTACCTCCTTGATATACTTTGATTTGTTTAAAAATTTCTTTTTTATTATTTTATAATTATTAATTGTGAAAGAAAACATTATTTTGCGAGAATCTTCTGTCTAGAATCATAAGAATCTGAAGAAGGCAGGGTATGTTTTGTCATACATTATTCTGAGAAATCATTTAAAGTTATGAAGAGAAGACTGTCCATTCATAGAAAACCTGAGGACTAGATAAGAAAGTGTTAGGAAGAGAATGGGAAAAATTATAATTTTAGTCAATGATTTTAGGATTGAATCAATTAATGTTGCAACTGCAAATACTGTTTTTAATATGAATTAGCATCGAATCATTGTACTACATCTATCCAAATTTCCATGTTTTTTAAGATTTTCAGACTCTTGGGGTGTGTTTGGCTGCATTGAACTTGCATCTGGAACAAATAAATGTGTCATCTTTTTTTTTTCTTCCTATTATTATTAGTACAGTACTTCTGTATTTAAACATACTCTTAACCCTTGGAAGTAAGAAGATGACCAAAATATTGAGTATTCTTCTTTTACTTAATCAATAGCTTTCTGATCTAAACTAATTATTGGCAGCATCTGTAGATGTTATTGTTCAGCAGACAGAAGTTCTGTCTGAAACGAATTATTGGTGATAAACGGAACAATACAGTTTTAAAAGTATTTAGCATTTTCCACTTGAGAGGTAACTTTCAGTCACCACTTGACTTGCACTCTAACAACAGAGAAGGTGAATAACTGTTTTTAACTGAGTGGCATGACCTCCCTTTCTTTATCTGGTCATGAGATGTTTTTGTCTTTTGGGATATATTACTTTGTAATTTAAAATATTTTATTTTCTTACTTTCTTTAATGATGTAAATATCATCTTAATGAATAGAAGTTTATGAAAACAGAGACTGAAGTATGTAGTTATATTAATTTAGCTACTAAATGTGATTTCAGTACTGGTCTTCATGAAAAGATCCAAAAACTCATACTGCTCAGAGTGTTAAAAAATATTAAAATGGCTATCTTTTTATTTTTCATCTCGGAGATGTAAATGTGTGTTGCATATAGCCTATAAAAATGCTTAAAATTAATAATGATGAAGAAAATATTAGTGTCTGGTGTCAAAATGCATGGTATAAATGCGACGTTCAAATATGGTGAAATAAGTGAGAATGTTGAAAAAGATTTTAAAGCGAGTGATATATGAAATTGGAACAGCAGAAAGTAGAAGTGAAAACGAAAGTGATTCAAATGCCATATAAGAATAGAGGGTTCAGAATTGTTCGAGTGTTGAGTAGGTAAATTTAGGAGTAACTTTTGATTATTCATAAGCGGTGTTCTAGCAACATTAACATCTGAATGAATAGAAATGTCCTGCAGTCCTACGGGATATTTTAATATGGTGAAACAAAGAGTAGTGAAGATAATTTTGAAGTAATTAGTTTGGATGTAGAGAAATGGTAAGATCTTAGACAGAAATTAAGCATAGCAAAAGACAAAAAAAACAATGTATTTTTATGATGCTTGGCATGATGAAGTGAGAGTGCATCTTTGCAAATACTTTCTGAAGTACAGAGGAGTCTTGCATATCCCTTCACTTTGTAAGAGAGTCCAACACAGTTTGACACAGTGTACCTCTGAGATATCAATCCATTTTTCATTTGTTAAATTGCTAGAATAGGACACTAAAAAAATAAAGCATTGATAGGAAATGCTAATAAGATTATTTCCTTACAATTTAAGTGTATTATTTTAATACAAATAAGTGTAGAATTTTGAAGTTAAAACTAAGTATTAATTATTCATATATAATGTTACAATTTATAATTAAAACTGAAGTTCTGATATAAAATAACAAGATTTGCTTTAAAAAATTAAGAGTTAAAATATGCTGTAGTGTACTTTAAATGCTGTAATCCAGGTATATATCATTTTAAGGAAATGTTATATTTAGGCATATGAAAAGCATATTTAACTGATATTTCATAACATTGAAGACAGATATTTTATCCACATTTTGCAATTGTATTTTATTAATTGCACTTTTTTATTTTTCATTCGAGGTGCACATTTCTTTTCTTTTATGAGAACTATTCTCTTAATGCTGGAATAAGCTGTGTCTGAATTCCTTTTCTTTTATGATTTTCATGAATTGTACATCTTTCTTACCAAATGCATAAGTATAGAAAATGGTAAGTCAGTTGTAACTGTATCCTCTCCATGTTTGACTGAAAGCTGGCTCAGAAGTTTTTTTCTTATTTTTTCATTCCTCTCTATTATGATAATTATTTAGGAATTAAATCCGGTTATACTGAAATGGTTAATATAAGCATTGGCTATCTTTACATTGCCCTTGTTGTAGTGTAACTCTCCCAGATTCCATTAACAGCATCAACACTCCCTAATTTTATTATGTAGTGCAGATATCTCTGATTTTCTGTCTCTTCGTGCTGTTTAATCAGCTGTGAGTAAAAACGAAATTTATTTTTCTTAAATTTAGTTATGTAGAAGCTAAAAGTTATCTTCTCTCAATCCAGAACGACTCAATATGGCTTTGTGATGATGCATGTTTATGAATTCTTGAGGTATTTAAACTCTGTTTTCATGTTCCAAGGATGGCAGACTTTTTATGAAGATCCCCTGCTAATAACTTTCATAGTTATATTATGTCCTTCATTATTTGTATGATCTTAAAGCCACATAACAGCATCTAAAAACTTGCTGCTTTGATGATGTGATGAAATTTCCTATTGCTTTCCAGCATATATTATCCATGCTTGCAGCATTCCAGATTTTGAATTTACCTAACATAAATTTTAATGTGACATTTTATGGCTGTGCTAGTATGTAGAGTTTGAAAGCATATCTTCCAGAGAAACAAGTCTCTCATAGGTTATTATTGCATTATATACTTAACAGGTAAACAATGGAATGGCAAGAAGTATGATTTTAAAGAAAAAATAAGGAACTTTGTCAAGCCAAAAAAGGAACTTTCTAACTAAAGTTTCATACTTTTAAAAAACAAAATTTCCAGAAAATTGTGTGAGTAGGTATAGCGCATGTGATGATAATAGGAAAAAAAAAGTGTTCGTTTCATACTTAGCTATCTGTTCTTTCTATAGTGGGGGTGTTATCAAGATTTTAGAGGATTTTTAAACCTTTCCTCCATATAAGGATTGGGATCAACATCAAGCAAAACTTCTTCAACATATTCAATGTGATAGAATTAGCTAGAATTATTTCTTAGCTAGCCAATCTGCTCTAGTTTCAGTCTGAAACTAGAATATTTAATAAATTTGAAACTAGATCACAAATCTAAATGTAAAAAAAATTTTTTTTTTCTTTTGACAAGAACTAATCCTCATTTCTTAGTTCTCATTTCTTCTTCCTTTTATTTTTATTGAAATTATGGTAAAAATCCATTTGATTATTTACCATTTTACTACTGGGTTATGGATTTCATTCTGTCCTATTTCTCTTTTATTTTTAATTAGTACACTCTTTCTTGCAATTATTTTTCGAGCACAAGCACATCATTTGTCCTATTATATTAAAATTTTTAAAAGAATTGCTTTTAAGTCTTAAATGAGTTTTCTAACAAAAATTCTGGTTGTTGTACAAGATTTTGTCCTAAGTTCTTTAATTTCTTTTTTAATAAAACCAAACACAATGCTTTTATAGATATTGTAGGCTTTTCCAAATTTTGATAAGAATTTACTTTGTATGACCTTGAAGTTTAAGAGTTAATTTTTTTCTAAAGCATGTTTTCAATTTTTTGTTTTAAAATTTGCCAAAATATTTTTTTACATGATTCTGCTTAAACACAAGCAAAATATTATTTTTATTTACTTTTTATATATAGGTAATTAAAATTTGGACAATCAAATATTTGCAGTCATCAGAATTCCTTGTTATTTTTCTTTCTTATCTGCTGCTTTCAGTTTATTAAATTAAATAAGAAACTTTGTATGCACAGAAGTGTGTTGTCAGTTTTTGAGGTCACTATATTTCGATTTTCATATGCTTGTGTTATTTTACTCAATGTACTAGTATGACATGCATTCAAAAGGAATTTTTGTGTGCATGATGCTGAAGTGTTTTTGCTTTCAAACTTTAAAATAGTTTACTTACTGAATTGTTGACAGAAATTCCAAATCTGAATTTACTCATGATCTAAATATTAGCTGAGTATAATGTATTCATTTACTCAACAGGCATTTAGCACTTTGAAACGCTTAAAGAAGCATACTGTAGTCAAGGGTAATGAAGAGGAGGATTACACATTACCACATCATCTGGAAGGTTCACTGACTCTGAAATCTTCAAAAGAGTGCTTAGAAAATGTTGGTAAAATATTGTACTCTTCTTAATTTTTTTTATTTTTCTTACATTTTGTATCTTTTATGCTGTACATCCTCAGTTTCTCCAATAATTTTTATTATACGTCCTGATACATGTTGATTTTCTATATTTGTGATGTGTGTTTTATTCTGGTGTTGTCTGTAAATGTATCTGCTCCTTTTGTATGAAATATCTAGCTTAATATTGCAACAACAGTCTCTTTTTCCCTAATGTAAGAAAGAAAAAAACAGCATCAGAATTTGATGAACCATTGCAACTTCTGGCAACAGAATTTGTTGAATCAGGGCATGTTTAATGTGTCTTTCAAAAGCTGTGTTCAAAAGGGCAGGTTCAAACTATGTTGAAAACTGGTTCTTCAAAACTGACTCATTCAGTTTGCAAAGCAGCTTAAGTAGCTTGTTGAACTGGTGGTAGATTTTTCTTGATTTTTGTATCCTTTCTGAAACAAGACAAATGGGGAATTTTACTTATATTGCTCCACACTATTTATGAAAAACAGCTGACTTTAATAATCCAACGTAGTGTTAAAAAATAATGATTAATAGCTAAGTATTCAAAGTTATTTGATCGAAACTTTGTGAGGCTATCTGAGATTATCCTTTTCTTTCAGGCACACTACAAATAAAAACATTGGTATAATGAAAGCTATAAAAATTATAAAATTGCTTTTTTAAAACATTTAAAATCCTTGAAAAGCAAGAGGGTTCCTATGGAAGAAAAAAAAAAAAAAGAAAAAGAAAAAAAGTGGGTAGTGCATTAATTGCCATGATCTTGCACCTTAATGATAAGCATTATTACAGGAATCAACATTTCAATTTCCATTAAATAAAAATATACAGACTTTATTCAGTTAAATCAATGAAGTACTGCAGGTGTCATTTTCATTGAATGAAAGAGAAAATTTGCCCATTCTGTGTTAAACTTTTAGGTATGAAATACAGGATGATTGAAGGTTATACAGCTAAACATCAGTTGAACAGGATTGATTAATTAGACAAGATAGTGCCCACCTTTCTGAAAAAAAAAAGGGTTAATTAATCCTCAGATTTAGGAAATAAATCAAATGAGATTATCCTTCATACTATTATTTCAAGTTTGGTTACGTACCTTTTAGTAAATGCATACAAAGTATACATTTGTTAGAGCTAGTGCTTACTTTTGCTAAATATGTGTATATACCAATGTATTAGGTCATTTTTTTTCTTTTGTAGAAAAGAATACATTTGTTTATATAGTAGTTAAATAAATCACTGTGTTTGGTGTTATGCAAAATTTTGTTTTAAGTCACTGAGCTGAAGAGTGGTGCAGTTGTAAATTAGTTACATTTTTAAGTGAACACTTGTAGCTACAGTTGAATAGCTACTGGAGTTCCAATTCCAATCTGAGGTGTGCTTTTATGAAGCATACAATTACAAGGAGCTTAGCAAAGGGGAATTCCCAAATTTCAGCATGCTTGGTGAGTTGCTGTTCTTCAGCCTGCATGACATCTGCAAGGAAAAAAGTAAAGGAATTTCGGTCAAGAGTACGAGTTTGAGATGTCATTAAGTTCTGCTGATGGTTAAGGATATATTGAGAATTTCCTGTAGAGCTAGCTGCCTTTGAGTCGCAATCCTTTTACTTGCTCAGAAACAGGAAGCTATTTATACAAGTCAAGTGCCTCTGGTATTGCCAGAAGCTCACAAGTGAAGACTATGGCTGCAGAGCCAATTTTGTGTTGATTTTGTGTTTCAAGTACTATTGTCTGAGGTAGTCAGAAATACTTCAGAAGCTCCAGAAGTGATTATCTCACCAGATGAACCATCTGTATAAGCATGTTCCATGATGTGTTAGAGATGGTAAAAAAGCATTGCTTTTCACTATTTCTCCAAAAGTAAGACATTTCCTTAGTGATTTATTTTCTTTAATAGTGTCTAATAACTATATCTAATTCTTCTAGAGTGATGTTCTTGAGAAGCAGTTCATCATGCCTGTACCATCTTGCCTCCAGGAGCAATTTTATGGCAGAGGTTTTTATTTTCTTATCTTCCATCTGATAGTAATTTTATCAACTGTAGAGAAGTGCAGTACATGTTCATTGGCCACTTCTTTATGAGTACCTGTATTGATCCAGCTGTATCTAGGATGTTTGAAGATTGGGTAGCAATTGGAGTGAAGGATCTGTTTTCCAATACTTAGTATCTTTTCTTGGATCTAGGGGCTTATTGTGGCCCATTTTTGGTGTTTGATGGCAACAGTTTTTGTTTCCACTCTGTTTGATGCCTGTGATTGCAGTCTTCTGTTTTCTTTTGTGTTGTTTGCCTTAAGTTGATCATTCAACAGGTTTCTCTGTTAAAAAATGAGTCTATATTCTAGTCCTTTCAATAAGGAATCCAATTTTGTTTCTTTTTCCTCTTGGAATGAATCACTTTGCTGCAGTGTTGAAGTTATGTGTGAATCTCTCCAACTGTTTTCCAAGTGTTTTGACTGGGAAATCAGTACTGTGGCAGAGGCTGTTGAGATATTGGTGGAAACGTGCTCAGTCTGCCTTTCTGTAATTCCAAGATGGTTTTTCTTGGGCAGGGATTTCAGAATTAAAATTGAGCTTTGTTACAATTGGTTGATGATTGTTCATTGCATTATTAATGATCTTCCATATACAGGCATTAAAAACATGGTAACTCACTACAGTGAGTTCAAGAGCCGACTATGTAATTGTTGTTCTTGAAAGATAAGTGTTTTCTCCATTATTTAGGGTAGCCAAATTTAGGTCTGTCAATAGACTCTCCAACTGCTTTCCCTTCTCATCTAGAGAATGCGAGCCCCGAGTTGGAATTTAAGCATTAAAAATCACCCAGCATAACAATGAAATGAGATTGGAAGTGAGGTATATTGCAGAGAGGGCTTCCTTGTCGATACTTGTGTTGTGTGAGCGATATACGCTAATCAGGTTGAATGGATGTCCTGGGAGGAGGATTTTCACATGGCCTGAATTTCTTTCCACCTGATCAATTTTGATCACTCTATTTGACAACGTTGTTTAAGCAAGTCCTTCTCCCATTCTGTCAGTTCTATCTTTTCGTAGGATAGTATAGTTCTTAATGTTGAACTGAAGATTTCTATTTACCTTATACTCTTGAAGGCAGGCAATATGGATGCCATTATTCTTTAGGAGAACCTGATGTTCATCCTTCTTTCTTTGTGTTCCACTGATATTTAGATAAGATAGCGATTCTCAACCAGTGGTGTGCAAAAGAAAAATAGGTGGTATGCAAAGAAGCAAAGTGTTTCTAACTTTTTTTTTTCCCAATGGCAGATTGTAAACAGTTACAGTGTAACAAAGTCCATTAATGTATACAAGCCCAGATGTAGTGATCTCTTTATTATGGAGGCACCTAATAGGTAGGCCACCATTGCCTCCTATGAAGGGACGGACAATTACAACCATGCCTTCTCCGAGATTCGAACCCAGGCCCTTCAGTATCGCAGTCAGGCTTCCCTAACCACTATACCGTCTGGATGGCTGCTGAAAGCAGATTAGCAACAAAGACTGAACGATATTACAGCCCTTAATGAAAATAAATTGGCATAATCTATTGTAAATATGTGAAAATTTCAATTATATTTAATACTCACCAGAAACAGTTTTGCTATGTATCAAAATCTTTCCACAGAAGTGTAATATGTTTTTTCGCTGCAGTTATGAGTTCTTCACATGTTCTACAAAGATCAGTTTCCACATAAAACAGGCTTACCAGCACTGAGCGGTAAAGTCGCTGAACTCTGGTAGTTCGATCCGAGGTTCGAACAGGCTGGCTGAATAACTGCTTTCGTTGTTTTCCCCATTGTAAGACCCAGTTTTCCTTTGAAAGTCCTCCACGGAAGCATCCCGCCCTTTAGGCAGATAGCCTTAGTGTGCTTTGTTGTGTTGTTGCTAATGCTCACGTGTCTGATCTTAGTCAGCCCAAGCCCATGAAATTCCTCGTGGCAGGGAGTGCAAGTTTTACGCTTGTCGTTGGCAACTCAGGGGGTGGTCCAGGGGTCTCCCACCCCTCTCCCCTTCCACTAAATCACACAAGAGGACTTTCGGCTCGGCACATATTTAGAGTGCCTCCATGCTGCATGGACGCTATACATGTACAAACATCCATGTCTTCTCTGTGATTTGAACCTGAGCCCTTCGGTACTACAGCAGGCTCCCCTAACCACTATGCCATCTGGGCAATAGTATTGATATATTTTACATCAGAATTGCATTATAAATAGTTCAATAACTGAGATATTGCATTATAAATTGAACTGAAGTCAATTTGGATTTCTTTTCAAATTGCTTCACCGTGTATCATGAGAACACTCCTGAAACTCCTAGTTTTTGTGGGAGACTTTTTGATTTTTTGTATTCCAACAGTGTTAAAAGGTTCGTGTTTGTATTTGAAAGTACAATATTTTACTTAAGAGCTAAGAATCAATTGCAAGTCTTCAGTTTTGGCCTTCTCTTTTTTAAACAAATGCTTCTACCTGTATTAAAGAGCTGTCTTAGAAATATCTTGGATCACAATTTTATTCTTGCTGTTAAGATGGAGAATTTTGATGTTTTATAATCCTCATGTTATCTCAATGAATATTTTTTATTCCTGTTCTGTTATTTTTGTTGAAATATTAACTATAATCAGTATAAGTAACTATTATATTTTTCGGAGTAAGAATGACCAGAAATTTGGAGAAACTAAATCTTATATTAACGAGCACATGGTAACATAGGATATTGAGGAATGAAATATTGGAGAGAATACAAGCTAAGCTATTGTAAATTGTTTGAGTGTAAATATGGATATGAAATTCTTTAAGACAAGTTGATGAGCTGAGATGAATGAAGAGAGAATAAGCTTCATAAATATTTTTTGCTGTGGGAGTTAAAATGTAAACGATTTATTTGTTTTTAATTAACTTGCGAAAATATGAGTTATGTGCTGCTTATGTCATATTTTTATGTGAGGCTAAAATTTTTTAGCTTGTAATTTCTTGAGGCAGTCATTTTCAGGCTGCTAAATTATACAAATTTTGAAGTTATCTAGAGTTGAAATTATTTCCTAGATTATTACTATACAGTGCTTTAACAAAAGTGCTTATGTCTTTATGATTATTGCTCTTATTGATGCAGATGTTTTTATTTCCTATTGCATATTTTTTATTATTTGCCGTAAATTTAGTTTAAATACAGTCAAATACCGAAAATTCGCCGACCTGAAATTCGTCAACTCCTGAAATCCGCGTTGCCTCTCAAAATATAAACATTCAGTTTATAGGTTTCGGAAACTGCAACATGAAGTACGAAATATCGAAGAAAAAATACTTACCAGATAATTACATCATAATTACCGAATAAAATGAGTCATAATGGAAATACCAAATTATTGACATCATGATAAAAGTTTTTCCCCCCCAGTCTGCATAGGGGTAAAAAAGCAGATGATTAACTTAACTCTTCCTTCAAGTACACGATTCATGTTGTTGTACTTTCTGAGCTTTGTTATTTCACGAGATTGTGTAGTGCTGCCTTTTTTTTTAATCCAGATATTTTGTGGATAAATTAAGAATATTTTAAATTTCAGCACTTTTTAATACAATGACAGATAGATAAGAAATGCACTCATGATTTTACTGCTTGCAATGTTGAAAAACGTAATCACATTGCATTGACAGTAATAGAAAAAGTGGAAATTCTGCAAAAGATGAAAGGCAGGGGCTACTGCTCGGTTTAGAGCAGAATCGTACGGAATTGCGGCACGGATCGTGTGTGATATACCGAAAAATAAAACTGTTAAAATTTTACAGCAACAGTGATTCTAACACCGGAATCTGAAACCGGAAATCTTTACACAAGGCGAAATTGGCAAACCTCGATGTCGTCTCGTACATGTGGTTTTGGCAGCAGCCCAAATGATGATGTACCAATTTCAGGATTGCTCCTGAGAAAAAAAGGGGAAACAGATTTTATGCTCATTTAAAAATAGAGGAGCCTATATATAATCAATTTATATATGTAATAATAATTTAATGCATATAATGAATTACTGTAATAATGTATATAATAATTTAATTAACTGTATCTAATATGCCTTATTTATTTTGCACTTTTAGCCTGAATATTATGATTTATCTTTTCTGTCTCGAAATCCGCGAAATCCTAAAATTTGCACAACCTCTGGTCCCAAGCTTAGCGGATTTCTGGACTTTTACTGTATTAGCTTTCCTGTAAATGTACTGAAAACTGCATTGAAAAAACAAAATTAATTTCCTTTTTCAAAATGTGTAGTAACTTATGCATTTAAAGCACTAATATTTATAATAGTTAATTTTAGAACTGTTCGCAAATTTATTGGAATTAAGAGCATGTCTATTACAGTCAAAAGTCGTTAATTCAGACACCCATAATCCGGACCTCAAACTACAAACTTTCTGCGCATGCGTCATGTTGACGCATGCGTGTAAGACCTTTACGGCTGCGAATATGCGTGTGCACGTGCTCAAAATATGTTTACGAATGCGCGTTTAATGTATAACGGACGGTATAAGCTAAGCTAAAATTACCTAATTCAATTAATATTGCAGATTGCATTGTTCCTTAGTCTTCAAATTGGATTCAGCTTATTATTTTTTGCAGACTGTTAGAGCATTTTTATAAAAGTAAGCTTGAACTCTCGATTATGTCAAATAGAATTTCTGATTTATATTTACTAATATGTAAAGGATCTACAAAGCGAAAGTATGTTTCGAAGTCCATTAAACAAAAAGTGGAATTGCTGCAAAAAATGGATAAAGGCATATCCTTTGCTTATCTAAACTTTACGCCGCAGTGCGCAATGAATTGGAAGTTGATCTGTCAGCACTATCCTTATCTTCAGGGCAGATGTTTTTATTTTATTTGGCTTATAATTCCTTACTAAATGTAGTATTTCATCTCGATGTACTCCATCTTTGATATGATTTAAATCAAATTCCTCATCATTATAATTCGCTTCCGATAGCGAAGAAAGTGACAGAGGTTATTGAAAACGAAAAAATTTTGATTGACAAATTAGTCGGTATTCTCGACACAGCAATTATAGGATTTGAACAGTGGAACTTTGTAAATGAACAAGAAATTATGTCTGTTTATAGAATTAAAGAGAATGTATTATCACATAAAAACGAAGCAACTTAAACAACTTACATTGAAAGAAATGTTTAATAAAGTAAACAAATAAATATTAAGTTTTTTTTTTTTTTTTTTTTTTTTTTTTTTTTAAATTTTGATACCCTTTAGATCATAATTGTTCTTTATTTCGTAAATTACGGTTTCATATTTTTAATCTTATAATTTCTGCATGCCATTTTACCAGATTTAATCTGATGATCTATAATCCGGAGTCCCGACGAGTCTGGAATAACGACTTTTGATTGTACTTAAAAATTACCACTGATTAATGTATATGTAAAATAATCATATTTTATACGATTATTATTGGTACTCTTAAAGTGTGATTATCCTTATTCAGTTGTGGAATGCATTTCCCCCCCATTCATTGTAATAATGTGCACGTTTCAGATTTCTTTGTGTGATGCTTTTATTTGCATGTTACTGTGTGTTATCCCATTAGAAATTATAATTAAATTTAGTTTTATCTTCAGATTCTCAAAAATGTTTGGTGCCAGAGTCCCTCTGATGATGGTAAGGTATGTTGTGTTAGATATATTTTTGTCAAATAATGTGAATAATTTATATGTTGAAGCCTCTGCACTCATAAGCTTACCTGTCTTATTTGTTTTTATTGACTCAGTCAGATCGCTAATCACATGTAATTCTATAATTCTATGGATTATGTACAGGATATGTCAAAAAAGATTTCTTGTTTGAATATGCTTTGAGAAGTTTTTCCTCTAGCCAAGGTTAAAAGTTAAGAAATAACCTAGTCTTTCAAACTATGATAATTTTAGTCTCATGTCACTTGTTAATGAAACTGCAAGAAACTAAAATGTTTGTACAGATCGTCAATGAAGATGGTTCAAGTTACTGAGCTTACTAAATCTCTTTTAGAAAATATTTTGATGTGTAATCAAAACTAGTCTTAAGAATATTATCAGAATTAAACAAATTAAAACCTTTTTCACTGTAGGAAAGTAAATGCAATTTTCATGAAATTTAATTTTCCTATAAAATTAAGTTTTGCAAAACGAAAAATGAATTTTATCATATATATGAATGTATGGTAACTTTAAACTAATGCTAGTAATTTAATCATGCTGAAGTAATAGAAGTTATCTTTTTAAAACTTACATTTGAACAATCTGAATGCATAGTTATAGTATAAGCATGTGGTTTCCAAAAATTTTAAATAATATCTCATATAATTTCTTCATATGTGGATGAATCTAAGAATTAAAAGTAGTGATGTTTCGTATGTTATCGGTATGGGTGTTGAGTGCTGCTTGATTTTTCTTTTTTTTATCGATACTTCTTTTTTTTATCGGTACTTCTTTTTTTTTTTTATTGAAGAAGCAGTAGATAGTTCTTACATTAAATTATCTAAATTTATTTTTTAAGGTCTTTTAAGATAATAATGAATTTAGTTTTAGAAATATTTGTAGTTTAGCTTTATTCTGTTTTGAATTTTCATTTATGAAGAATGATATTAAAGATGAATGATGAATGAATTTATGAAGAATGATTGTGCATATTTAAAATTTATTTTCGAATTTTTTATTGCTTTAAAATTTATCTTCAAAGTAAGTAAATCTGTTGTCAAATTATTATAAGTCAGCATCAATAATTTGTTTCTTCAATCCTTGTTTATACACAATTTATCTGAATAATTTAATGAACTTATCTCAATGATTTAAATAAAGATAGAATTTATATAAATATTTATCATCTTAAAATATCTTTTTTTGAATCTTCTGTTATTTTTTGTACTACATAATCTGACATGCAACTAATATTGTGACTGGAAGATGAGTTGAGATTTTATGAAATATTTTGCATTAGGAAAGAATTGCATTGCTTGGATTACATACCTGTGGTGACCTTGCTGCTACAATTTTAAAAACTTTTACCAAATGTGCCGAATCCCACGTACTTTTTTCAGTTGGATGCTGCTACATGAAGCTCAATTCAAATACGTAAGTAGATTAAACGTTTATTTCTTTAAATGTGCAAGTACCGGGTGGTCATAATTAAACTGACAGTGCTCACAATGTTCTGTAGCGTGATCTATTTGCGAGAATGACGCCACATTTTGTAGGAAGATTAAACAAGGATTCCGTGAAAAAAAAATTAGTTCCAAAAGTCACCGCTAGGGGAATATTTGGCACTGTGTAATAGAAAATAGAGTGTTAACAAATGCAAATTAATACGGAATAAAATTTATCGTAGGTCCATTCTTCTATGAGAACATTACCCCGTCAGGACCGGAAACCTGTTACCGGAGAGAAATATCGCCGCATGTTGAACACCTTTGTCCAAGGTCTGTCAAGGAGTCCAAGGTCTATCAAGGAATGGTCCAGGACCTGGCTACGTTGAAGGATAACATATCACACACTGTACGGGAGATTCCTGCAGACATGTTACTTTCTGCTGTTGTGCATACTGTGCACAGAATGCAATATGTGGTCCACAACAACGGCAACCACATTGAACCTCATTTGAATGCAAAATAAAAGGTAATTTCCGTATTGATTTGCATTTGTTAACACTATTTTCTATTACACAGCGCCAAATATTCCCCTAGTGGTGACTTTTGGAACTAATTTTTTTTTTCGTGGAATCCTTCGTCCCCCATCTTGTTTAATCTTCCTACAAAATGTGGCGTCATTCTCGCAAATAGATCTCGCTACAGAACACTGTGAACACTGTTAGTTTAATTATGGCCACCTGTTATATTTACTGTCACAAGAGATTTTGAAAGATTTGAAAGAATACTTTTTGCCGGTCTTGTTTAATCTTCCTACAAAATGTGGCATCATTCTCGCAAATAGATCTCGCTACAGAACACTGTGAACACTGTTAGTTTAATTATGGCCACCTGTTATATTTACTGTCACAAGAGATTTTGAAAGATTTGAAAGAATACTTTTTTTGCCGGTTTTTCTGGAATAGCAGTCCTTTATTTCTTCCATCTAAAGATAGCTGATTTTTTTGTATAGTTTTTGTTGATAAATTGTTTACAATCCTGTTGATATTCACACAACTGAACTTGAATCTTGATTTAATCTTATGTATAAAAAATTTTATTTTTTTTGAACCCCATTATTGTAAATATCACCTGAATAGTATACGACATGTTAAAAAAATAATCTGAAAAGTATTTGACATGTAACATTTAATCAGAAAAAAGGTGAATTGTATAGCCAATATTGTTATTTAATTTACAGTTCTACTTAATTCTATGCAATTCTTATTTAGAGTTGATGAAGGTTATCCTCTGAGTTATTTTGTGAGATCTTTACCTCATCACCATTTGAGCTATGAAGCTAGAGAAATGGCATGTCATGCTTTAGAAATGTATCTTCAAAGGCTACAAGGTATGTTTAAAAAAAGTTCCTCTATTTGTCTGTATAATGTTATTCACTTATCATGCATTTTTGTTATTGATTAAGGTTTAAATTAGTTTGTATTTTAACAGCATCTTGCTGTTAGTATAAATCTTGGGCATTCTTATTATTTGTTTAAATTTAATTATCATTAATTTAATTTTAAACTGTCACTGTGTTTACTTACATGTTTACTCTGAAAGCTGTTAGGGCTTCCTAATTCTTTAATAAGCTGCATGAATGTTTGTGTTTTTATTTAGATACATATGTTTTCTTCATAGGTTCGATTACTAATGTTATTTTCTTACGTACACATGATAATACTCATTGATAAGTACATAATGATTATTATATGAATAACAGTACTGATTTGTTTATACATAAAAACTGAAGAGTTACCACTGTCTTTTTCAAATTAAACCACCTAGTGATTGAATAGCTGAGACCACAAAACTCTGATATCTAGGTTTTATGTCTGGCAGTTGAATGGGTGGCTGCTTGAAGTTTTCTGTTATGTGTCACATAAATACAAGCCATTTTTCCTCGAGAAGTCCTTGCGGATGTCATCATTTCCCATCATGTGGATAGCCTCTTGTCTGAATTTGAAACTTTTTTTGGAAGGTGTTATAGAGCTGATTCTGTGCAATAAAAAATTGCAACATTTATTAAAATTAGCTGTTAAATTTCTGTGTAGGAATAGTAAATATGAATTTCTTTTTGTCACTAAAGGTAGACATTCCATTAAAATTTGGCAGTACTGAGAAATTTCGGAAAATTTAGCCACATTTTTCAGACATTAAATTTTTTTCTAGTATTCAAAACAGGAATTATATGTATATAATTTTATGAACTGTTACAAAAGTATGAGCAAATACTAATTGTGAAAAAATATTCAGGCAAGTGTAAGTAGCAAATATAATTTAAATGAATGACTCAGAGAATAAACAGATGCTTGAAATTAAGATTCTGTATGGATTTGTTAAATTATTATTTTATAACTGTATGGCCAAAAATTTATCAGTGGGACTTTGGAAATGAAATTTCGGAAAACTGCAAAATAATGCTTATTCTGCCAAATATTGTTATATGTTATAATTTTTTCTGTCTATACAGAGCATTTTTGCAATTAATTTTTTTATAATTATTTGGTTTCAGAGGAACAGATTCTTATAATTTTTGTTTAAAAAAATATTGAGAGCTGAAGATTGAAAGATTTTCTTATTAATTTACTTTGCCCCTGCCAAATAATCTTATTCAATACACTTCTTTCAAATTAGTGTTTTTGCATTTAAACTTCTGTTTGTTTCTTGACAGATAATTTGCTAACATAGGATAATAACATAACAATAGGGGCGCTTCCTTCTTATGAAAAGAAGGAAAGGAGTTAAGGCAAAATTGCCCATTACTCTTCCGCCATTTGATCATTTAAATCAAGGGATTTAAATGGTAACTCCCGTAAAAGGTAAGTAATAAATAGATAAGATCTCAAACTGACACCAAATCTATAGTATCAGCAAAAGATCCCATCTCCCATCTCTAAGTTCAAGGTGTCGGCTGGATCGTGAAAACTTCCCTATTGGATGGAAAACCGATTCAATCCCTCCCAAACCACCAAACGCAAATTCTTGACCAAACAAGAGTGCGATGGAGAGTCAAATAAATAAATAAATAAATAAGGAGGGCAGAGGTGCATTCTCAAACCAAATGGCCAGGTAGTGTATAAAGATTTGATATCTGTTTTCAAATTATATTCCAAAACACAGCTATGAGAGGGAAATCCCTGCATAGTTTCTTTAAAAAAAAAAAAAAAAAAAAAAAAAAAAAAAAAAAAAAGAACTCATAGGGTGTCTCAATGCTTGTTTCTTGTGGTTTCATATTCACCTTACCTGTAGGTGTTTAGTATACATCAGAAACCCTATTATGCCAGAGAGCCCTTTGTATAAAAGGGCTTGATCAAAGGTAATATAGGGAAACCCAAGGAATTTGTTTCTAGGGACAGAGAACACCGGACTTTGTTCCAGAGAAAGTGAAAGGTGTTTCCTCTTCTTCTCACAAGCTGGGCAGAGAGGAGAGAAGATTCGACAAGACCACATTTGTGGAGATGCTTAGCTAGATAAGCATGTCCAGTAACAATTTGAATTACCTGGCGTAAGTTAGTTCTACTGAGGTGTATGAGTTTACCTGAAAAGTTAAGTGTACTGAGCACCAGTTTAGAATGAGCACAGTCTGGTAGTTTAGACCATATATCATCATGTTTGTTTCTTTATCCAGCTTCTTACTTCTTTTTTAAACCGTTTGATATGAAACTAGGTAAAATGGTTCTGGGCCAGACATGGGTAGTTGCGAAGCATCTTTAGCTACTTTATCAGCTAGTTCATTTCCAGCAAAATCACAATGACCTGGGACCCAGACTAAACTAATGGTATTATGGGCCTGAGCCAGAGAATTGAGATCTTGAGTACAGTTCAAAACACAGTTTTGTAACTTGACACGATTAGCCAGGGCAAGGATGGCTGATTGGCTGTCAGAGAGAATATATATATACTTATCAACTGTATTTTTAGCTAAGAGCTCCCTGGCGACCATATTGATCGCCAGAACCCTCGGCTTGGAAAACAGTTGTTAATTTACCAAGGTATAGATGAAATCTAATGAAATCTTCTTCAGATCCCTTGGTTCTTATAATAGCTCCAGCTCCAGTGAAGTTGGATTTTGATCCATCTGTGTAACATTCAATTGATCCTGTTGGAATTAGGTCAATTAGAGATTCTATCTCATTCCTTTTTGGTATATAGAGTTGAGAATAGTTTATCTGGAACTATTGTTTTAGTAATTGCGTCTTTGGGCATATAGATTATAGGGATCTCATTGCCCAAGTCCAGACATATGTCAATGTGGCTTTTCAGGTGGCTTTTATGACCAAAACCTGTCCGCTGGCACCATGTGCCATTTTTATTCAATCTATACATGGCTTTAATTGCTTCTCCGCTCAAGAATAATTTCAAGGGTGGAATTTGCAGTAAAAATTCTAATGCAGCAGTAGGGGTACTATTTAGAGCCCCACTAATGCTTAGGCAAGCAAGTCTTTGCACCTTTTGTAAAATGTTTAAATACGTGCTTTTGTTAATAACATTAATCCAGACAACGCATCCGTAAGAAAGCATTGGCCGGACTATGGCAGTATAAATCCATAGAGTAGATTTTGGGTTAAGTTTAGGCCCCATTGTTTACCAACAATTCGCCTGCAAAGTACTAGTAACATTTGTGGCTGTTTGTGCCTTTTCTTTTATATGGGTGATCCATGTAAGTTTACTATCCAGGTAACATCCTAGGTATTTAACGCATTCCTTACGTCTGATAATCTGGTTAACCTAGATATAAATCTGCCAGTTTCCATTTCCTTCTCCACGTGAAAAACTATGACCTCAGATTTTTCAGCAGAGAAAGAAAGGCCATTTGTATCACCCCAGTGTGAAACTTTATTTAAGATCTGCTGAGCTTGATTATGTAGGGTTCCGATATCGAAACCCTGTAATAACACAATAAGGTCATCTGCATAAGCCTGTGACATGCCAGGTTCCTCCCGTAGAAGTACTAAGAGTGAGTCGAATACCAGGTTCCACAGGAACGGAGAAAGAATACCACCCTGCGGACACCCTTTAGTAATATCTCTCTTTACTTCATAGTCAGCGAGACTAACACAGATATTCCTGTTTTTAATCATGAAAGATGACCCATCTAGTTATCATAGGGTGAATATGACTTCCAGTAAGGGCCTTATGTATTTTCTCGAAACCGATGTTATCAAAGGCTCCTACAATATCCAGTAGAATCCAATGGCAAAGTGTCCGTCTATAATTGTTTTTTCTTCTATTCTCCACACCAGTTGGTGTAAGGCCGACTCAGTGGAGAAGCCAGGCCTAAAACCGTGTTGGTCTAAGCCAAAGGTATGTTTCAGATTATTATCTGACTGAAGGTGCCAGAAAAATCAATCGCTCCAACAGCTTAAGCTGGAAGGATGTTAGCGTGATCATTCTAAAAGAGTTTGGTTTCTCATATGTATCTTTTCCTGGTTTAGGGGAAGAAACACACCTCGTGAAGTTCTCCAAACCTTAGGAACATATCCTAAAATCAAACTGGACTCGAATATGTCCACGAGAATGTGACCAAAAATATCCCAGCCTTTCTGAAGCAGAATTGGGTAAATGCCATCGTTCCCTGGAGATTTAAAGGGAAGAAATACATCAAGGGCCGCTTTAGCCTTTTCAAAATTCACAATTGTCTTAGCAAAATCCAGAATCTAATGGATTATGAAGTAGTTCCAATGGATTTTCCTGGGGGTCAGAGGTGACACTTTTGTCCCCCAGATGAAAATTCAACATGGTCGAAAGTGTATCCAAAGGGTTTATAGTATAACTGCCATCAGGTCGCATAACCGATGAGAGTTGAGACTCCTGAGATCTTTTAAGAATCTTATATACTCTGGCAGTCTCATGGTAGGACAGAATATCTGTGCAGAACGATCTCCATGAGTTGTATTTAGTTTTCCTGATTTCACTTTTAAATTTCCTTTGTAGAATTTTGAAGTTAGACCAGTTAACTTCAGATTTATTTCTGACTGCTTTCCTGTGAGCTCTCCGAACCTCTAGGCGGAGGCTTTCAAGCTCCTTGGTCCACCAAACTCTCTTGCTAGGAGAGTACTTCCTTCGTTTGAGAGGGCATGATGCATGATAAGATTCAATAATGATATTTGTCAATTTGTTTGCTTGAGTATCAAGCTCCTCGACTGTACAATTATTGTCTAAAACCTGAAGGTTAATGACATTAGAAACCAGGAAATCCTTATAAAGGTCCCAATTTGTGTTTTTAATGTTTCTGAAATATTCAGCTGGAATTTCATCTCTAATACAAAATTGTATAAGGCGAATGGTCAGAAAGTGAGGGATTGTCACTTACATGCCAATTCTCAATAAGGTTATAAATATCAGAAGAAGTTAATGTGAGGTCAATGACTTCTTCTCTTCTTCTGTTAACAAAGGTGGGGTGATTTCCCCTGTTTACCCAAGTTAGGTTGGTATTCATTATAAGTTCCATGAGTTTTTCTCCTCTAGGATTAGTATCAGAACTGCCCCATGACAGGTGGTGAGCGTTAACATCACCACCAATAACCAAAGGAATATTGTTTATTTCACAGAAACTCACAAGATCTATAAATTCTTGCGGAATGTTAAGGTCATAAGCCATGTAAACCGAGCAAAAACAAATGTTTCCTCTCAGTGAACTATTTATGTCCTTAATTAAAATAGCAGTTAAGTCCTCTGATGTAAATTGGGATAATTTCGTAGCCTTTATATGTTTAGAAATGTAAATGCTAGTTCTAGGTCTTTTATCAGGTCCCTCTGTCGAAAAGAAGTGCGCGTTCATGGGCCTACCAAGGATTTTACCCTTGTAGACCCCAAGATTCTTGAATTAAGGCAACAAAAGTGCCTTGCTTACCTAATTGAGCAGCTAAATTGTATGAAGCTGCTCTGCTATGTTGCAGGTTTAACTGACTAACCTTAACCATTAAAACAGGTTAAATGAGAGATAAGAACTTACCCTGAAGGATTTTAGGAGAGAGTTACTTAGTTAAAAAGCCACATCCTTAACCCACTAACTTCAAAGGAAGTAGTGACAGGGGAAACCTATTCAGATGTCTTCTCCCAGAGCCTCCAAAGGAAAGCTCTGGTTCCGACTCCTTTTCGGTCTCCCTTTCTTCCGTCAACTGTTTCCTCGGAGGATCCTTGGGCTGGAGGAATTGATTTCTCCTGTTGTCTTGGTTCCTTCAGCTGTACAGAGCCACGGGCACCACAAAAAAGTTTGAAATTCTGGGCCTCCAGATAATCCATGAGCTCATGGTTCCACTCCCAGCACCAGAGGTGTTACCTCCGTCTCCAGGGATAACTGCCTTGATGGCGATCTTCTTAACATCCAAGCCCTTGTTACAGGCATCAAGGAGCTTGATGTTATCTTTTGGTGACCTGTTACCAGGAAACCAAGCGAAAAAACCTCTTCATGGGGGGTCTGTCTCCCGGGAGCCATGTTGCATGATAACCTGGGATGGTTTTCTTCAGGGCCAGGTAGATCATTAATTAAAGTCTTTAGGACGTCCACAGTCTCCTGGTCCTCACATGCAATGTTGAGGCCATTCGGCTGCAGGACTGTCTTGTGGACCCTGCAGGTGGTGATAGAGCCATCGATAGAAGTGATGAAATCTGAATCCACCGATGTTATGTCTCTGGAGTCATCCTTGCAGACGATTCGCAGAGTGATTGCCTTTCTTGCAGCTTGACTATATAGCCGTCGTTTCTTGAGGGCCATTTCCGGGGTGTCACCAGCAATGCATTCTCTCTTACGAGACTCTTCATTGCTTGGATGGTTCTTCCTCACCGGTTTGGAGATCGCTCCAGAGGTCCCAGCTTTATCTGTTTTCTCTTTCGCTCCCTTCTCCCCAGAGATCGAGATCCCTTCCATGGCCCTCTCCAGCCGTTTCCTCTCTTTCTGGCGTTGCCTTTTTTCTCTTCTTTTATTTACAACATCCGTCATTGGTGACTGGTCATCAGCTTGCGCATCTGGCACAGTACTTCTGACAGAGGAGTCAGTATCCATCCCCATTGGGTTCAAGGCGTCCGTGTCCGAAGGCACATTCATCCTTTCACTAGCGGTTCTGGTTTCTGTAGTCCTGAAGAGAAGAGCGTCCGCACCCGAGGGCACATTCACTCCCTCAGAAGGAATTACAGTGTATATAGTGGGGATTTCAGAAGATGCGTTTTTATCTAATTTTGTATTGCAAGCATCCATTTTGGTATAAGATTGAAAGAAGAGGGAGAAAAATTCCTTTCTATTTTCTAAGAGCCAGTTTGGAGAGGCTAGCCCCAGATTCAGCAGCCAGTAGTGACCTCGGAAGAGCCCCCCGCTCTGCCATGCAGGACCCCACCCAGGCACCACCTGGAACTACAAGGCAGGCGAGATTATACACCAGCTGATAGAGCAGCCAGGATATGCTGGTTAGGCTGCCCCGGGCTCCTGTACTATCTGGCGGCCTGAGACGCAAAACTCAGCTTTTCTCCTGTATCCTCTACATGGCTGCTTCCTCCAAGACCCCTCCTCTCCAGATCAAGGGTCCTCGGAATTTCAAATCCTCCCCACAATCGCCAGTTTTCCTAGGGAAGAGCGGTCCGTTGGGTCGTCATAAGATTACTCATCATCAGACCGAACCTCATCCCACTAAACCCCAGTATGCCACAGGACTTTGTGACAGTTACCCATTTAGCATCACCAGGGGGCACGTGTGACTTAAGGATAATCACGGACGCGGGTAACATTACCCCCCTGCTAACATAGGATAGGATAGTTCAAAATACGAACTAATGAATCTGAAAAGAGCATTGCTTTATTTCCCTTCCCTTATCCAGCCAGGTTATCTGTGATTTGTCATTTTAGAATATTTTCTTGTGTGCAGTAGCATTGTTTCTGAAAAAAGTACAGTGGTTCTGCTCATCTAAGAATATATAATAATAAAAAAATAGCTGGTTAATCAGTAGAAAAACATGAAAAATGACAATATTTTAGGACTTTTCTAAATTTTACAGTGTTATTTATGAATGATTGTTTCTTGGAATGAAAATATAAAATAATAAATGATTGATTTTTGGAACTTTGCTGTATCATTGAGTTTTGGAAGAAAAATGTAAAATAATAAATCAGTAGATGCAAAGCAAAATGAATGCAGCCTTGTTGTCAATGCATATTTATTTAGTATTATATGCTTTGAGTGTCTAAACACACTAACTTTATATGAAAGGCTAATCATAAATTGAAGAAAACTGATCTCTGCAAAATGCGGACAGAATGTAGAGAATCTAGACATCATTATGTTGCAGAAAAATGCATATTGCAACCATGCTCTTGTCATAAAAACAGTAGTGAAAATGTGAACAGAGCATTAACACACGACAATGATTATTTTTACTAAAGAATCAAACTGTAAGCTTTAGCTGATGTTCTATTAAATTCGCATTCTCTTAAAATTTAATAATTTGAATTTTTCAATGTAATATTCTGTTGTTAAGCTCAGTCAGTCAAAGTCTGGCTGTGTACTCTTTATAAATTTACTCTAATATTTAAGTATTAGTTGTTATTGTTGTTGTACAATATTAGTTGATGTTACTGGACTAATAACCATTATTACATAACCTTATAAATTAATAACTGTCATAAAATGCAATATACCTAGTGCAATATACCTTTTTATCTATTTTTGTTCTGACTTGGTTGAAAAATGTATATAATATATCTAAGATTAGATAATATTTATGTAGCTGGTATGTTTATTACTTAGCATTAGAAAATGGTGAGCATATTTTGGATTTAAATGCTTACCTTTTTTAGGAACATGAAAAATGAAATATGCACTGAGTGTAATATTATTTCAATATTTTAAATGCAACTGTCAAATCTTTTTCTTATACCTTAATGCAGCTAATGCACCATCTTTGAAGATTCATTGTTATCGAGCCACATTGGAAAAATGCATAGTGCATCATTTTCCCCAACACAAACATCTAGGCCTGAGAGGAGTAAAGCATGCTGAACTTTTAGAATTTTCTGAGTATGTATTTACTCCTGTCTGTCTCTTTAAATGTCATTAGCATATATTTAGAGAAAAAACTTCAGTTATGATTTTATTATGAAATTTTTTTAATTTGTATGATTTTGATGAGGTTTCATGATATGACATATAAGTCCTCTGGATCTTTGCTTAAGAATGTTTGCATGATCATGAAAGTATTAATATTTACACATCTGGTCTGTAGTTGATAAATGAAAAAAAATTATCATTCTTTCTTTCATATGGTAACATAGAAAAAGATTGCATACTTGCATTGTAATATCTGCTGTCTCTAAAGCAACCACGTAAAATTGTAGACAGTTTTGGTCATTTGTGAAGGAAGTTGTTTTATAGAAAGTGAGTATTGCTGATGTTGATTATTGATTTATATAACAGATTTGACCTAATAAAAGAGAAAAATGCTGAAGTGCCATAATGTTGATTTATTAATCCTGTTACATAAATAAAATTAGAAATTAATGCAAGGATTAGTAACAAATAATGTACCAAAAAATGAAAAACAAAAATCAAGAAATAATATTGTTTTATATTTTTGAAATGCTGTAAGTGAAATATAAATTAAAATATAGTAAGCAAATACTGTTTGTAAAAGAGAAAGAAGCACGATTTAATAGAAACTTTGTTATCAGTTTAATTTTGTAATTTAAGGCACACACACTGCTTGTTAATATATTAATTCAACAAAGTCCAGCTGCTCAGTTTCCTTTTCTTTTAATTAATCATTTAGTTTTCTAAAACTGTTTAAATTCTGTAGTTAATAAGCTATCTAATTGTTTCCTAAATTGCATCCTAATTGTTTTAAATTATTCACAAGATATAGAGATTGTACAAAAGGTACAATATAAAAAGCACATATGTAAGGAAAATTAAAATGGATAATGTGTTTAAAATTCATCCCATATTCAATTCGGGTAAAGCATATGCAAAAACTATAAAACCAGAAGCACACTGGGAAGCTGCAAGAAAAAGAGAGGCAAAACATGTTAAAACCAAAAATGAAATGAATTTACATTTCTCACAGCATCGTCATCTGGGGCTTGGTGCAAATTTAATATTTCATTTTTTGTTTTTGCATGTTTTGCCCCCTTTCTCTTGCAGTTTGCCAGTGTGCTTCTGGTTTTATGCTTCATTCTCCCCACCTGGTTTTGGCATATCTTTTTACAAATTGAATATAGAATGCATTTTAAACGTGTTATGTATTTTAATTTGCATTAGGTTTTGAATTGCTTTTTATTTTGCATTTATTCTTTTAGATCTATCCTATCTATTAAAAACTCCAATATTATTAATACTCTCACGGAATTTACTTTAAAATCATATTTTGATAATTATATGAAATATTCATTAAACTAGAAATATTTTTATTTTTTAATTTATGAGAATAATGTGATGAATGTTTTGTGTTAAAATGCCAAAGCCTGGCATTGCTTTCTAGAACATGAATTTTACAAGATATTGTGAATAAAATCTAATTTTATTTACAGTTAGTCAATATTTATCAATATTTTTCATGCCAGTCTGGACAACAGTGTTCATCACTCAATCTTTTTAACATCACTGATATTTCATTTTACAGTTGTTAAGTGTAAATGTTTCATTCTTTAATTTGTGAATGATGCTTACGAATGAGCTCAAATGTTAAATATATTGATTAGTTTTTGTACTACAAGTGGCAAACTTTGTTCTCATTTTTAGAAGACTTGGGAATTTTTAGTAAATATAAGACCTATGGTATAAGGATGGGGGTCATATAAAAATTTTGTAATATGTACAATTTTATTTTTAAAATTTATGAATGCCCAAACATGCATGTTTGCATTATTTAAAGAATTTTTACAATTGAAATTTTTATAATATCTATGACCAATGGTTGTGCAAATAAAGGCTGGGTATGGACTTTTGTTTGCACAATGTATAATTTCTTTGCACTCGGTCCTTGCACTAAAAACTCAAAATTTATTGTTTCACAATGTAATGAGTAGCATACTTCAAATGAAATGTATAACATAGGATATGATTTTTATTTTATTATTTTATCTATTTTATTTAATTGATATCTAGAATAAAATTATTTTGATATCAATTTCAACAAGTAAAGTGTGCTTTGTTGCCAAAAAAAAAAAAAAAATATTCACCCAGAAAGAATTGAGCCACAAGTAGTTTGGTGTGCGGGTAGATAAACAAATTATCAAAAACTGAAGTGAAAAAAGCATTTTATTTTACGATTAGCAATAGAAAGAATGGGAAAATCAGTAGGTGGTAAAGTCGCCCCTGCTAGCTATACAAGCTGATACTTAGTCGGGCATGGAGTCTTAAGTTGTCAAGGTCCCTCCGCAGTAGATTTTGCACAAATGGAGTAACTGCTCAGCAAGTTGAGATATATTTGCTTATGACTGAATTTGTCTGCCCAACATGTCCCACACATCTTTGATAAGCGACAGGTTTCGAGGCCAGTCGAGGACATTACCACCTTGAAGACATTGTTGGGGAAAGTCATTCTATTTGTGGCCAAGCGTTTTCCGGCCGGAAAACAGAACCTGAATGACATGCTAGCATAGGCAGGATGCCAAAGCCAGAACCCTCGTTCTGGTTCATACCTTTCAAGTTTGAGTTATTCAGGCCTTGGAGACCGCTCAGTGGTACAAAGACCTTACAGTCCCTGCCTGGCTTTATACGTAGCCTCAGAAAGTACGAAAACATTGAACTTAATACTAAATACGCCGCTTGATACATCTTTGCTTCAGGGCACCACTCCCTTGGCATTGAATGCATTCATCTTGGTACCTTGCCTTACTCCGTCAGTCTCCATCAATGGGACTCTGAGGGCCAAACCCCCATTGAGATGGTCATGAAAAATCTAATGATATAGCTCCACCACGGCCAAAGGAACAGACACAACAGTACCAGTATGGTCCCTGCCAAGCCTGAACCAACCTAAGTACAATACTCGGTTTCTAGTCCTGTGAAGACTGATTATATACCCCAGTGGTTGAGACTACCTAGGTACAGATCCTAACCAGTGCTTCCCAAGCGTTTGCTTGAGTCAACCCCCGGGGGGGGAGCTAGCACAGGCAGTACAATTGGCTGCAAAATATTGTCAATGTACCTGCGATCATTCAGAGTGTCTCGTAGCACGATTGATAGTTAACGGCTATCCCAACTGACCACTCTCCAGACTGTCTCACCTTGCATTCTGTCTGTGTGTTCGTCAACAAATGGTACATTGGACTGCTCACCTGTGTGTCTCCAGACATGTGTGGGGTGGTCATTGCATGATTTGTCACTGAAGATAATATTTCTCCAATAGAATGCTGTCAAGCTTGAGCGAGAGCAGCACCATGCAAGATGACATTGGGTATGATGGAATGTCAATGGCAAGTGCCTTAATGGACATAGAGATCTGAGTCCAGTGTCACCTAGTTTCCTGTGAATCATATCCCAGGATACCTGCAAATTAGCAAATGGCATTGAATCGATGATGACATAATTGTTGGTGTGGATGTGGCAGTCTTCTAATTGCATAATCATCTTACACATTGGTGACCTGAGGGCATCCTGAGCTGATTATACCTTTACTGAGCCAGTGGTTCTCTAGAACGGATAACGACCATACTGCTTTGACTAATATGCTAGCCCATCCACCTGTTCGACCAACCAGCCTCTTTGAGCCTTATGATGTGGCCCCTCTCAAATGTGACAACTGTTAGTAATGCTGTTGAGTACATCTTAAAGATGTCTTTCATTACAGTGTTGTGTATCCAAGCTACTAGCACAGTTGTAAATGTTTGCCACTCGCTGCATCTATCCCTTTACATTCTATCTGCTGTGCACTTCAGATGCGCATTGTATCTCTACAATGCTGATTCGTGCTGCAAGTTTAATCATTGACACAACTCGCCAAACTATATTTACATGCTGGTTTTTTAAGTTGGGACTGAATTTTTTCTGAATTGATATATTTTTTTGCAACCAAGTGTATTTGTAAATAGAGTATTTTTTAACACTAGCTCAATACTTATGTGAGCTGCTGCTCTTTCTTATAATTTTCTAACAAGTAAGAATGTGCAAAATGATCACCTAATCAAAATAATAACCTTGCTCTACAAAGTATGTAGAGTGAATTCTGAAACTATGTCTTTCTCAACCAGTTACTTTGATATAGGATCTTAATTTTGGAACATTCAGTTCTGATATTTTTTTAATCCAGGTCTTTTAAGTTATTCCCATTGGGAATTCTCTGAATTGTTCTCTTGTTTTGCATCTATAGTTCACGTGTTCTTTTCAACATGATTTTTTTTTTCAGTTTGTTTTCTTCAAATGATTATAAATTTTTCTGTAACTGCTTGGTTAAAAAAATATTACAGTTGGTTTTATGTATAATTTAACATGGGTTTCACAATTCTCTTTCTTTCACAATGCTTGATACATCTTTTACCCATTTATGCATGCTTTAAAAAAATTCATACTTAGAGATAATTTATTTTCACAAAAAAAGAATTTCAAATAACTGTTATATAGAGTATTAATAGTGTCTTCAATAAAAATTTAGATGCCTAATGAATTTCCTTCTTTACTTTTGTATAAATTAAAAACTAGAGATTAAGATACTAAAGTTAGATTATATGTTTCTTAGAACTTAAAAGTTTTCATTATTTCATATGCATTTATATCAGTGATTCTCAACCTTTTCAAAGCTGCCACCCCTAAGGAAGGAAAAATTTTTCGACACTCCCCTCCTTTTGTGGAAATCCTGTAATTTAGGTATGGGAAAAGACAGGTTCCTGAATTATAAAAGGCAAAAATTCTACATAATTTTTTTCAGTAGACTTACGCACCAAATTTTCTGATTTAATGCGATAGTTGTGCCTGGAACGTAATTGCATTCCTTTTGTTAAAACGAAAATGACTAATGGCAGAAAAATTGCTTAAGCAATGTTTTATGTTTAAAAAATTCTTAATTAAGTAATTAAAAAAAGGGC